TATAATTGATTTCCTGCGATTGCAGAGCAAACGAGAAAGAAAAGCCTTCAACAGCAGCAACTAAATAACACGGAAAAAGAATTTTTAAAAAGTAATTTATAAATGTTAAAAATCGGATTAAACTAAGAATAAAAAGATGAAGAGTAAATCAATGCATAAAAAATATAAAACTTAGAACAATAAATGATTTGGACCAAAGAAATTTTATTTAAAACAAACCTAAAAGATTTCTTTCTATTAATAATGGTAGCTAAGATTGCTTTTGCAAATTTTATGAAACTTATTTAAAGGAATTAATATTTGTAATCACTTTAGCTTGCTTTGAGGTAATTTAAATTTAAATACTTTCAAGTTACTTAGATTTTCCTTTCAGTGCATCCAGCAACCTAAGAGCAGGTCCACTCCGAATCCGACTACCGTGCAAACCCATTTCGCAGTTAACAGCGCAACAAATAAAAATAAATTATACCAGAAAAAAAATAGCACAAAATATTGTTGGGTTAAACTACAACAACAATAACTTTAACTACAACAACAATGCATATATATATATACATATGTATATATAAACACTATATTATTTGTATGCAAGTTGTTGCATTGCCGCAAAGAGAAAACCATGCCGCAACAAAAGGATGAAAATATAGAGAAAGGTGAGCTAAGAAGGTTACAAATCAGCCATAAAAATTAAGTGCTATTGGCCAGATATTTAAGGTTGTTAAATATGCTTTAAAATATATAAGAAATTAAAGGGGATTGGGAATATGTTATCCTCTAAGAGCCTGAGGCTTATCTTAATAGAAGCCTCTTCATTGGGTTTTTGCCAGTTTAATATTCAAAAATATAAGAAATTGCGTTCAAAATTTAATGATAAATAAAATGAATAAATTATTTATAAATTATTAAGAAGAGGTTATTTCTAAATACATCGTCTTGCCTAACTTCAAAAAGTTGGTTAATATAACCACCTTGTGTAACTCCCTCAAGTCAGTTCTTTTACAAATTTATTTGTATTTTTGTTTTCGGTGGTTACCTGATCAACACCTTAGGGGATGAGAACGCACTTGGTCCCACGATCCAGGGATGATGCTCTGGGACAGATAATGCCTGGATGACCCATATCAAATCAAAACTCCCTCACACCCACAGTGTACCGCAGTCCAAAAAAAAGATAACAAAAAAATATATACAAAAAAAAAAAAAATCTGAAAACTCGGAAAAAAATGGGGAAAAGAAACGCTGAAAAACAACACAACAATAACAAAGTGGAAGGAAAAAGTACGACGACCATCAACACGATCATCAACGAGAACCATAAATAAGACTTAAATGGCATGAAAAAGGCAAAGAAACAACAACAACAACAATGGTGAGTGCAATCAAAACGCAGGCCATAGCCATTACACCAACAACAACAAACACCAACAACAACAACAACGATAACTGCAACAACCACCAACAACCGCAGCAAACAACTGAAAAGAAAAAGCAGCGAAAAAAAAATATCCAACAAAAATTATCAACAACAACAACTCAACAACAACAACAGCAGCAATATAGAAACCCATACGAAGTCAACGTTATATATCTGGCTATAAAGGCAAGAAAAAACCACAGCAAGTCAGCCGCACCTTCGAACCCACACACATCCACACACGTACCTGTATAATCTCGGTTACTATATATATGTATATATATATACATATATATATCTGGTGCCTCTGTCTGCTTCCTCTTCCTCATGCTCTGACTTCGACTTCGACATCAACTCCGGAGCGAGGAGCCTGCAGCGTTTGGGGATCAAGCGACCTGAAATGACGAAAAAATAAAAAAACGAAAATAAAAAATTGGAAAAGAAACTATAGAATAAACACCGAAGATCATATACTGTTTGTTTTTTTAGATATATATTTTTATATATTAGATTTTAATATATCTTAGCAAAGTCCATCATAATTTTGATACTACTTTTAATATAAGTATCTTTGTTATTTTCATTGTACTTTTGATACTACTTTTAATACATTATAAAATAAAGTGATATAGAATTTAATTAAAATGGATTTTACTTAGTTTCTTTTATATATTTAAAATTTAAATATAATTGATTAATAATGCATTAAGGCTGGGGCTCAAGATTATTACAACATTACGACTTAAGCCTTTTAAAATGGAAATTATGAGGTCATAAGTTTGACAAATATTATAAATAAAATATATTCTCGTATTATTTTCAATATATTATAATTCTATAAATCTCCCAATATTATGTATACCGATTTGTCTAGTATTAAAAATTTACAAGAGAAACATCTCAACTCAACTAATTATTATTTTAATATTTTGTATACAAAAATCTAAAATATATTTTAATATCAACACAACTAATTATCATTTAAATATTTTGTATACAAATATCTCTGAAATATTTTTAAATATAAAATTAATTTATTAAAACACTAACAAACTTACCAAATACATAGTTGGAGTCCTTTAAAAGTGTATTGGCAATCGCAGCGAGCGACGGACGCGTGTTGCTCTGTGGTATCTTTGACTCAATCTTGAGGCAGCCTGGCTTGAGCCGTCTTGGATCCCGGAGTTCCATTCGATCCGCAGCATGCATCCTCCCCCTTGGAAGCCCCACCAGCATCCTCCCCCTCCCTTGGAAGCCCCGTCAGTGGTCCAGAGGGTGGGGCGATGCTGGGGCGGAGATAATGCCAGGTGAGTGCTGAGGGCGGCGATGATGAACCCTCACATCTGAGGGGCGGACGGCAGTTTCGTTTCGCTTCAAGTGGAGTGGAGTGAAGGGGAGTTAAGTTAAGCGAAAGCCAGGAAATCCTTAGTTATTTCAAAGATCAGGTCTGAGAGCATATAACCTGAGCAATTAAAATTCACCCATTTAATGCCATAATTTAGTGACTTAAAGCCAAAACAAATGGAATAGATAAATTAAACTGGCGCCGGACAATTCTCTGAATATTTATATGTCTGCTAAATGGAGATTTCGGTATGTTCAAGCTTTCTAAATCTCAAAAAAGCATCTCAGATGAGTGTGCTAATTTATACAAGAATATGGATAAATGCATAAATAAACAACTGCTGGAATTAGCAAAATAATATGTATAGAAAATATATTCTACCCTTTCAAACCAGATACAAAATAATATAGGAAATAAATGATTAATCCTTATAGGGAAGTAAAGTAAAACAAGAAAGTTTTGATAGAAAGTCTTATCTTTGATATCTAATGATGTCACCCTTTTGTTAAGACCCATTCTTTAGGGTATCGAAACCGGCGAGGCTGGTAAACAATGCTTGTTTGTTAGCTTGACTGGAAAGATTGTTTTGCAGACATAAATCTCAAGACCAACAGACACTTCGAAGTGAACAGATGTGGACCAAAAAAAAAAAATACTATTTATATATATACGAAAGAGAACCCGCAGGCCTAGAGTCGACCCAGACACAGGTCCACCATAAATTCTCTTCTGTTCCATCGAATAAATTGAAAATTGCTTTATAGCCAAAGTGCTAAGGGGTTCTAGATCAAAAAGATAATTAATCTTAAGTTTAAAATAGTAGGTAGGTAGGGTAAATAGTTTAGCACTGGTTAAAGTTTAAAATAAATTAGCTAAGGTATTAAATAATAGTTATAAAGTGTTAATATAATTTCCAGATACATGTTCTTTAATTTATATATTCATGTGATTGATATTGAAAACGGTTCATTTGAAAATAATAATTAAATGGGTTTTATAAAACGTTCTTTTACAAGAGATTCCTTTAAAATTTATTTTTATTTCTTAATTTATATTGAAAAGGTAAATTAAATAATAATTTGATGGGTTTAATTGACATTTAAGATACAAGATTTTCTTGAAATACATTTTATTAAAAAGCATGTTACAGAGGTTTATGTGGAGCATCTTCATGACAAGTCAAAAACTAGATTAAAACACGATTAATGTTTAATCTAAAACCTAAATAGATATAATTACATAATAAATTACTTTTTAATTCAAACTTTATTATAATTAAGCTTCTAAACTTGTCTAAATGAACTCTTAATTCTTTGAATTAATATCTGAAAGGTTTAGCCAAGGCTAATGCTTTTTAAAACAAAAGTAACTCTTAAATTTATCTTCATAAAATATGTATAATTATATCCTGTATAATCTTATTATATCTTTTTAATACCTATATGTTTAAACTTAATTTATTATAATTTAAAAACTTTCAGAATAATCTTTTAATTAATTGTTTCCCATATACAAAATAACCCAACTTTAATTGCTTCCCGAATTCTCAAAATTTCTTGCCAAGTGTATCTCAACTTCGACTTTAAATGCTCAGCCCAGAAATTTAAATTTTTTGTTTCTTCTTATTTTATTTCATTTGTTTTTTTTTTATTTATTTATTTATTTATTTTTTGGCAGACACTTGAGTAAGGTTTGACTGTCTGCGATACTCGGTGTGTCTGCTCGGCTTATGTGTTCATTTGTTTATCGTTGAAAACCAGTTCTCCCCAGATGAAGTTCTATCTGTAATTGCGTATAACTTTAAGTACAATACATTAAGGTCTAATTGACAGACAGACTGGCAGCCCAAAGGCACTGGGCTGTTCCCTGTTCCCCCTCCCTTGAAACATCATCGAAATGGGATAGATGTTGGGCTGCTGCTCGTGTTTGGCTTTTGGGATTTATTATATAAGCATGCGGAATTACGTAAGCACTTGTCGAGCAGAGTTGCCTTATGGCATTAAGTAATTCTTTTGGATCTCAAAACGTCTTTGTATTTTGTTATGGCGATCACACAATGTCGGGTAATTATATTACCCTATTAAAGAATCGATTGCAATCAAGGAAGGGCTTGTACTACTGCCAACATGCGATCTCTTAGCATGGAGAATTGATTGGAGCTAAGGTAATTTCAATTAAATATAAAACGAGAACGAATTACTAGACAGGTAAGTTAAGAAAAGCAAATTTAGTTTGTGGAAAATGTCTCATTGGGGAAACTGTATTTCCTGGTTTTTACCTATCTTAAGCCTGAGTTTTTGTGGTTCTTTCAAACAGGAAAAACACATTGAATTGAAACTAGATCACCTCCTACACTTGGCCACTCTCTCGGATGTGGATCATTTACGTAATAGTGTGCAAGCCCTTTCAATTCCAAGGATAGTTGATACACCAGGACATACCAAGGTTCGGGATTATATAAAAGACTTCCTGGAGAAACTAAACTGGCAGGTGAAGTTTGATATATTCACGGAGAAGGTACCCGTTTTTGGTTATCTCACCTTTAAAAACATTGTGGCCCGTCAGAATCCCAATGCTAAAAGATACTTAATGCTGGGCTGTCACTATGATAGCAAATATTTTCGGGATTTCGAGTTTGTGGGTGCCACGGATTCTGCAGTTCCTTGTGCCATTCTCCTGAATCTGGCCGAAGCTTTGAAGGATGAGTTTAAGAAGTCAGATCTCAGTTTGATGTTTGTCTTTTTCGATGGTGAGGAGTCCTTTAAGAATAGGACGAAGGAGGATTCACTCTATGGTTCCAGACACTTGGCTAAACTTTGGTCTGAAATAAACATTCTAAGTCGCATTGAACTTTTCCTTTTGCTGGACCTGATCGGTGCTCCGGATACATCCTTTAAGATGTTAATTAATGGAACATCAAGCTATTACAACAGATTGGTTGAACTGGAGAAACGGATCATTAGAACGGGAATCCTGCGACGAAAGCAACATATTTTTCATATAGAACATGGCCAAGATGTCGGTGACGATCACTTGCCATTTTTGGACCACCATGTGCCAGTTGTTCATCTCATATCGAAAAAATATCCTAAAGTATGGCATCAGCCCGAAGATGTGGAACAAGCCATAGATTATAAGATTGTTGAGCAAGTAGATCTTGTTTTGCGAATGTTTGTAGTTGAGTATATTAATTCTAAAGCTTATTGGAAATCTTTTTTACTAAACAGAACTTAAATTTTATTAGGTAACTATTTAGTAAATATTTTAAATAATAAAGAAAATAGTTTAATTATAAATCAAACATAAAACCGCTTTATTAAGGGTTTCCAAAGAGTGGTTAGTCTTTTTTGTATCATTCTTCATTCTCGACTTTACCAATTCAGTGTGTTATTTTTCGCATATCCTGTCCACCGAATCGTATCAAATTTCCATCCATCTGCACCCGTTTTTCCGACCTCTAACCAGCTTTCCCCAACCCTTTTCCCCGATCCCCCCGCCCAGGGGTAAAAGCCATCAGGCCACGGGCAACACTCGAAATTTATGTACGCTGCCGCCGTTCGCTGAAAGCAACACGAAAGTTAATTAAACTTGAAAATAATAAAAGCAAAGCGGGGCAGACCAGAACAGAAACGGTGGCAAAAGGATCTCGACGAGGATGTGGATGTGGATGTAGATGTGGATGTAGATGTGGATGTGGCTGTGGCGAGTAATGAAACACAAAAGAGTACATCACAGCCAGCGGGCACCAAATGGCGGACATGGGCCCTGGAAATGGCAGGGGATGCATAAAAAAATGTATATAAATCCTATATATATATATATATATATATATATGGAGAAGGTGCGGAGGTCGGTGGTCATCATTAGCATATCGCCGACAGCGGCGCGAAAAAGGGTTCCTCATTTGAAAAGTTAATCGCCAGCTGATGCTGCACTGCGATTGCGAATGGGTCGTAGGGCGACGATGACTGCGTTGACACTGACAGCAGCCCAAAATAAAAGAAAAAATAATATAAATAAAATACAGAACAGAAACCACCGGCCACCCGGCTAAGCCACCCAAAATAACCCACCAAAAACGACCCACCGAAGGCCATATCCCTGTCGTCGGACGTTATCTGCGGAGTGCAATAAAAACGGACAATAATTAAAACTGGCAAATAGAAATGGCACACAGCAACTGCCCCAGCATACACTGGGGAAAATGATAAATGATGATAATGCAATTTAAATAATTAACTAAGTTTAATTATTGATATCCTAATTTGTATTTGTTAAAGTTTTTTTGATTGTCATAAATTGCTATGTTAATTTTTCATTTATGGAAACTTTTCTGTAATTATTGTATTTATTTCTTGTACTTATATATTTTCATTCTTTATTTGTTGAATTGTTTATTCTATATTTATTAGAATGTTTAGTACTCATTTATTAGTGTGTTATGGTTATTTGCTTAATAAAATTGTTTTTTCTATATTTATCGGAGTTTTATTTATAATCCTCAAAAGTGTTAATTTTTCATCCCCTATCTAAAATATATTTTTTATTTTAATGTTAATTACATACTTGTATTATATATATATCATATTTCCTTTTTTCTTTTATGATATTTTGTGAAGTGCTTATTCTTCATATTAATTGCAATTAAGTCTTTATTTATTGGATTGAGCATTCATTATACACTGAAAGTTACCCATAAATTGTTTGCTAACTTTATTGATGAAACAATTGCTATATTTTTAGACTAATTCAATGCTTTGTTTTTTTTTTTGCATTATATATTTGTATCATAATCATTTTCGATTAAGATTAGAAACTATATTTTCCAGTGCACTCGAAAATTGATTAAGCCCAAAAGGGAAATTGTTCTTTTGACTAAATACTGATAGCATGTTAATTCGAGCGGCCTCGTTTGTGACTTTCAAAGGATTTCTTTCAAATATATATATATGGATATATATTTTTTTTCAGATTATATCCTTCTTTTTGAGGGAAACACAAAGTTTGGGGTATTACGAGTGCCACCAAAAGAAAGTCTTGCCCAACATTCATTAACAGTCTGTGCTGTCACTTGCCTAACCCTTTTCTGCTTAATCAACAACAAAAAAACAGAGTGGTGTATTTACAAATATATATAAATTGTACATAGCACAGTGCTTGTCAGATGTTTAGGTCAAGGAAATCATAATCAAAACGAAAAGTTTATGGTAAATATTTATATTCCAAAGACAAATCCTAGGTAAATAATAACCTGGGGGGTATTTTATGAAAAATACAAAATATATTAAGCCTTTTATTGTCCTGGCAACTTGCTTAAAGTTCTGCCAAGTACTGTAAACTTATCACATTTTCCGGTTTGGTTGCTGTTTGAATTACTGCAGGTCCGCCTTTCCTTCTGTTTGTTTGTTTTATTTTTCGCCTTTTTTTTCCAAAACAAATAACCGTAAAAATCTTTGCCATCCACATCAGTCGTAAAAAGGGGATTTCATTTTAATTACATACGAATTTCTTGTTTTTTTTTCTCACTCGCATTTCAGATTCAAATTGAGATTCAGATTATTCAGCTTTTTGCTTTTTGGGTTTTCTCTTTTTGTATTTGTGTGTGCTCAGTGAATATGGGTGCGAGAGTGCATCGAAGGATCATATAGTATGAAAAGAGTAAGGGGTATGAGTGACGCCTAACCCCTTTTCGCTGAGCTTCTTTGTGAAACGCTTTTCGCCGTGTGTTGACTTTTATAATTAAGCCTTTTGTGTACATTTCCAGTTGACGGGATTCCCGCAAGGACGAGCCGGAAAGCAACCCCCTGAGTGGTGTTCACCTGGCAACCGTCGGTGGAGGAGCATCATAAAAAGGATTAATTGTGCGCAATTAAAGAAAATATATTACCAAGTTCGGAGGGCCAAGTTTCGTTACGTATTTTATTATACATTTCTCTCGGTTTTTTTTTTTGTGTTACGCCACGGATTCAAAAAGTTTTTGGACCATTGAATTATGCAAAATCATTTAAATGCGTCGCCTCCGAAAAGTTTTGCCAACATTTCTCCAACGACTTAACCACTTTGGCATGTGTCTCAGATTCTTATTGTTATTGTTCTTGTTGTTTGCCAGGGCTTAAGTTCATAATGTTCATAGAGAAAGGCAGGGGAAAAGGAGTAGCAAGGACTTGGAGTGGGTGGTGTCCCCGATAACAATTGCCAGGACAATGGCATCCCTTTCCCTTCCACATGCGTTCCCGGGTTAATTGCTCAAGTTCAAAATTAAAATATTTATTACAATGAAAAACTTTGGCACTTTCGCGACGCCAACATGACGAACAAAAGGCAGCTTACGAGTGGAAGTACCCTGAGTACCCTTTCCTTTTAACACACCGAGTTTTCCCCATCTCCCCACATGGGAGTTGTTTAATTTGTTTTCCGCTTAGTGATGTTTGCCCTCAAGGGTGTGTGTGTGTGTATGGTGTGTGGTGTGTGTATATGGTGTGCGGTGTGATATGGAGGCTCTTGAAAGGTGCTTTTGGAACAATGGAACTTGTCATAAATTAAATAATTTCACAAGAGCTCAGCTCTAATTGTCACACAAACTGCAACTTCCTTTGTGTATTTTCATTCTTATCGAGTGACAGAGAGAGAGAGAGAGAAAAAAGAAGTATTATTTACACTTGGGCTTGGCTTCAAGTTAATTTGTAAATATTTTGCACTTTAAGAGGCTTTGAGAGAGGTGACTTTAGCAGAACAAATTACTGCTAGAGATAAGGAAAATAAGAAATAAGTAGAGAAATTATAATACATAAATATATTCCAAGTATGTTGTAATAAGAAAATATAGCTTTTGCATTTAATCCTCATCTTATCCTTATTGAATTTTAGTTTAAAGTATTAAAATATAATTTAGATTTCCCATTTAAGCTGCTTAAAGTGGGAAATTGTTATAATAATCTCAATTGATTGATTTAGTTTTGGACGTGATCATCCTTGGGGAATTGAAGTCAGATCTCTCCATTTAATAAGCTTGATTTTACACCAAACTCTATTAGAACAGGTGTTGCCTGTGGCCACGTTTCCTTCCCATTCCCATCCCATAAACCAAAGCAAACGAAACTCGTTTACCAAATGCTTTCAAAAAAAAATGTAACAGGCGGCAAGGCTTTTTCATCAAAAGTCCTTTTTGCCTCGCTTTTCCGCAAAACATCCCACCCTCTCGATTATCATTTGAGTGTATTGAAAATTTGAAACGCATGAATAGTCAGCCTAGATCGTCCTGGGGCCTTGTACATACGGAATGTATCTGTGTATCTGATGGGTCAGACAGGCACCCATGGCTCTCCGAGGGTTTATCTCCGCACTTCAGTTGAATTTTCCTTTTTTTCTCATTTTTTTCATCCTCAGAGTGGGCGGATATGGCCAAACACATCCGCTGGCAGATGTTTTTCACATAGCTCATAAGACAACTCAACGAGGCACACGAAGAGACAGAGACTTTAGAATACTCTACCTAAAATCAGTTAAATCAGAGAAAAATCTTGAAACCCTCAACTTAGAACTATAAGACTATATATTTATTTGATTTAGTTTTAAGTTAAAAGAAGGGAAACTAAGAAATTTATAGGCACTTGCAATTTGCAATTGAATTATAGGTTCTTATTATAATTCAATCGTTCCTTGTAGATGTTTTATATGACCATTTTATAAATAAATCAATGTTTAAAAAACTTTTAACTTAATAAATCTGCTTATATAATAATATAATACCATATATAATACCATTTGAAAATTTGTAATACTTTATTAAACTAAGGGTATTCCAATATCGGTGATTTCTTGTGATTCTCACTTGCAGCCATTAACTTTGCCGGTGCTTCGAATGAGCAAGTGTAGCGGAAATGATTTGGTAGCTCTAGTCTCTGGCCACCATAATCCACCTCCTTCTCCCAATGCATTTTCATCTACGTTCACGAGTTTTCCGAGATTGAAAAAAAAGGAAAGTTTTCTATTGTATTTATAGGTAGGGCAACATATAATCCCCAACATTCAATTGATAATCATTTAATTTGGTTCAGAAAGCAATGTAGAAATGTATTTACTTTATTTATTATTTGCGTAGTTAAAATACATATATGCAAAAAATTACGATTTTATATGATGATAATATTTAATTTTACATTGTTTTAGCGACGTCTTATTGGAGAATTTAGAGATCGAAAAATGTAAATTAAACCTGCTACAGCAAGTCCTCTTGGAAATGTTATTCCCTCGGCATTTTCCTTGATAATATCAACCAGTTGATCCACATTGGTAATATTTACATCGGAATACTCCTCTGAATAAACAGTATGGCCTTCATAATATATCCCAAAGTTATCTAAATTCTTCCCCACGCTCTTTAAAAAGAAAAAAATCCATTTAAATTATGTTCCTGACGATTTGGGAAGTTCTTACCGATAAATATACAAAGGAAAGCAGACCAATGATAATAAGCTGACGTCTTACACTGAAATCGATTAGCTTGTAAAGTCCTTTGAAGACAAACTCTAGAGCAAAGACCAAAGCAATCAAAACGACATCCGGTGGCTGAAAATCCCCCGAATATACAGTGTAGTCCGGTAGTCGTTTCTCTAGTTCCGCTGTTATATTCTGACAATCCAATGCATTCGAATAATTCGAACTGAAATGTATATACATAATTATATTTTTACAATTCATTTGTTAGAAAGTGTAGCAGAAATTTCTGTTTGCAATCGAACTTGCTGGAAACACACAAGTTTGAGTTGCTTGCTGATTACAAAATTATATTTTTGCAAATATAATGAGACGTCATTTTCTCGGTTCGAATGTATAATTTCTATATATTAATAATTGTACTCACACATGTTTTATATAAAGCACATTTCCAAAATATTTAAAATATAAGGCAATTAAGACAAGAAACTCTACAATTAAAGCTTCCGAAATCATGATGACTTTTCTCCGCAAATGCACTCAGAAGACTGATTCATCGAATCGAACACAGCTCCGTTCTCTGAAATCGACAACTGATTTGAAATTGGAGGAACAACTGTTTACATACAGTTCCCCTTAGTAAATCCGATTTTTCATAGTCAGCAAATTGCAGCGATTTGACGAACATTTATATACATAACTTATATGCCAATACAGCAAAAAATACGCTCAGAAATATGATGTTGTATATGATCACAAATACTTATGAGGGAGGAGGCTTTGAGGGTTTTTTTTTTATATAATTAACAAATAAATTTTAGAAGATTTTAATACCAAGTGAAAACTCGTTTTCTATAGCTTTAAAATTACATAAATTTAAGTTATTCAAACTTTAATATATGGAATAGAAAAAATATTATATTTTGAAGACTTTTATTTCTCCTTTCTAAAAAATACTTCATTTCTTTTAATAAAGGTCAAAAAATAAACAATTTAAATTAGTTCCTATAAAAAGTATAAGAAGTGATATCTTTTCACATGATTTTAACAAGGATTTCTGTAAACTCTTAGGACATTTGAAATGGTTTTCCCAGCTCTGCTGGCTTGGATGCTAAAAGTTCTATTCATTTCCTTCTAGCTCTAGTTTTTCATATATATAAGTATATATTTTTTTTTTTGCACTCCTCATCATTGTCATCATCATCATCATCATACTGCTGTGCGTTCATCATTATCGAGCCAGAGTATTTCAGCTGTCATTACTTTTTATGGCCCAGCAACATGATGCACTTGCCTTGCCCCATGTGGTTGGCGCTGGCTGTGTGGAAAGCGGGAAATCAGGAGGTGAATAGGAGGGTTTTCCTCGGCAAAGGGCCTAATGGTCGGTGGCAGCGGGGGCGGTGTGTTTTTTTGTAGCCGAGGCTGACTGGCAGTTAAAATATAATTTCAGGAAAGAAATCATCATAGAGCCCCAAACGCAGAAGCCCCAAGCCTCGAGAGGCAGTAAAAGTAAAACATCAAAGTGAATGCCAGCCTGTTTTCCAAGGGGCTGTGGTCGGGTGGGGGGTTGGGGTGGTGAGGAGCGGCTTAAGAGGGGGTGGGTGTGTTGCAAGGAGTTGACTCTGCTGTCACCGCTAGAAAACGCCGCGGGCGGTGTGGGGGTGGGAGAGGTTGGTTTAAGAGGGAAATGTGAAAAAAGAACGCATTTATCCAAAGTCCTTTTCCGTCCACACACACACACGCACACACACACACACTCTTGCTACTGCCATGTTTCATTTTTCACTTATCTGCATGTGAATACCACACAGAGAGAAAAATGATGGTGTTTTACAAATTATATATAATTATAAATTTGAATATTAATTAAAGCTGAGGGAATTGGAAGGTTTTTTGAGATTTTTATACCCTTTGCATATATTAAATTTTTAAATAGTAATAAAGTCATTTTCGACCCTCTGAATTATATTTAATACGTTTTTGGCTTAGCTATGGATTTTTTAAACCTTATTGTGTCGTAAAAATTCTCATAAAAAATATTAATAAATATCGACTTAAGGAATGTTAATATTTTAAGCTTAAAGCGTAATAGTGATGTAAAGTATAATAATAATGAATTCATAGGGACTTCATTGGTATTTAATAGAGAAATTGTCTTATAAAAATATATATAAATATCGATTTTAAGAAAGCGAAGATATTATGGTCTTTTTGAAAAAAAAAATAATAAAAACTAATTAATTTAAAATAAAATATTCTTAGCTTAGTTATCTCTTACGAAGTTTTATTCTTTTATTGTTACCATTTAAAATGGAAGGGTATTAATTTTAAATGTAAGATTTTAATTTCATTCAAAAAACATAGCATACTTTCCTGCACTACGATTTTTGGCTTTCAGCGAATAGTAACTTAATTTTCGTGAATGGTTTATTAAACCTAAAGTCTTGAAATTTTGAATTTGGTTACCAATTAGAAACACCTACATATATTTAAAATATTTAATACAGCATTTCGTAAAGATGACTTCTATATGGATCTTAACTATATATAATTTTCAGTCTAAGGTATATATATTTATTTATCTTAGATCTTTACTAATATTTTGTGATTTTTAAAATTTATTCTTCTATTTTTGAATACTATTATATTATATATATTTTTTATAATATTTAAAACCTAACAATTAATTAATGAATCATTTTTTGAACTTCCATTTTCCCAAGTGCATAAACCAATTCTGCCCACCCCTTTGAGCTGAAAAATTGTCAGCCGTTTGATTGTGTAATTGATTTAGCGGGAAAAACTCGTTCTGAACGAAAGTCTTTCCCCCCCTCTGTTTTCCACCTCCCCCTCCCTTGACCCACACTCATGCGATCCGTCAATCCGTTTAAAGTCGTTGGCTAATTAAGTTGCGTCCCAAAACGGCAGCAAAGTGGAAAATTAAAGGAGATGGGGCAGGACAAAAAAAAAAGAATACACATTCAAAGGACTCGAATTTTTTCCTGTTATCGTTCTGGTCATAAATGAGGCTTACTGTTTGTCAGACCCAACCCTTAACTATGGCCAACACCCTCTCCACCCCTTAATACAAAACGATTTCAATTGCGAGTCCTCGACACCAAAAGTTTACGATCGCTGCTGGTATTTTTATATCGGTCTTAATTTTTCACAATTTTTACACTGCCAAATCGTTCAACGAAAATTTGCGAGCACAATTTATGAAATAACAGTTCAGTAATTTTATCAAAATATACAATTACATTATGATTTGTAATTTTTTTCTTAATAAAATTGAATTTTAGGCTTTTTAACCTACAAATCATTATATATTTATAACTAAAACATTTCCTTTCGAAAGTGTATTCAGTAATAGGCTTAATATTTTCCATCATTTTATTATTTGCCACTGCCTGGCGGGAACATTAATTTTAATGTAGTCGAAAGGCGTTTAAAATATAGAGCACGGTAGGTAAATGCTTCAATATCGGCCAAGAGGGGACATTTTCAGTGGGAATTTCGGCATTTGAGCACGCGGCATTTTATTACCGGGTACAATGAAACGGCAGAGTGGGCTCAAAGCAGCCGCACTCACGTCAACACAGTGAGGTGGAAAAGTCTTCATACCGCAAAAGGTTTCACATAAAAAAGGCGTAAAACTCAAAACCACCACAAATATCTGGGAACCTGTGCGAACGTGCCGTAAACAATTTTTCTAATCATATTTCGCAATCGATCCAGATGCTCCGGCTTACAGAATTTTATACTATGAAAAAGTATTTATTCTGATTAATAAAGAGAACAACAACAAGGCAAGAATGTAAACTGACTTTGATTTATTTTTTAAATGTCTTATTTTTAATTAATTAATATTTTGTTTGCAAATAGAAATATATATGTTACGCCTTTTGGCAATCATTGGCTTTTTGACCTACATAACATATACCTAGAAAAAAACATAAAATATGTGTATTTTAGATATTTTAAATTGTTATTTTAATAATTGGAATTTATTTTGAAAATAAATGCGTAGCTAGAGCAGCTGATTCTAGATCACTCCTAAAATATCTGCTAAGTCTAACCTTAGTAGAGGACTCATGGTAATCCCTATTCGCCATGGCTAAATAACTTCCGGTATAGGAGTAATATTCTTGGGGACTTCATAATCATATTGATCATCTTCCTGATCCCCCAGATATATTACCTTGGTCACATGATAGTTCTGGGGGTCGAAGGGTAATCACTATCACTGCCACTATCACTCTTCGATGTTAACAGGCGGGAGGCCACGGACAGACTAAGGCCAGCGGCGGCTGAAGTGCCTCTATTTATACTCCCCGAGCAAAGAGAACAGAGAAAGTGAGAGCGAGAGAGAAATGGATTCCTCTAGAGAAAGGTAGAGAGCGTTAGAGAGAAAGAGGCACCTCTAGAGCTAGCCAGATAGACCTGCCGAAAGAGGGAGAAAGAGAGCTTATTGCAGTTTCCTCTTTATTTAATGATCAATTTTATGGCAGCTTTATATTTATATATATGTATATCGGAGGACTGTATATATATAAATAAATTAAATTAATAAAATTAAAACCTAAATAGTATAATAATACAAAATGGCTTTAACTCCTATTAGATAAAAATATTTTGATAACTGGAAGAGCTATTTTTTGTTTTTTACAAATTTTTCGATCTTAAAAAAGGCAGCTATATGATATAGTCGTTCGATCCACCCGATTCTGACTTATATTCTATTAATAAATAATATTATTATCTTGTTTAACCTTTTCCATTATTTTTTTAAAAAATGTTTTAAAAATCTGCCAAGTTTCTTGCTCAAATTTCAATTAAACAAATTTAAAAACAACTTTAAGATATTTCCTAGCCTCAGTTGTGGTTTCTGCAAACCTCCGAAATACAATGAGGGGAAATTAGCTTTTAACACCCGAAGAGAAAAATTGGTACCACAAAAAGCGACGGATGCTTGGGCCAGGGGGGGGGGGGGAGGTGACAGCAGCGGCTTATTTGAAACGAATTTTAATTAAAATACAACGGAAAAGTTTCGGCTCGAGCAGGAAAGTTTTCCTGTAGCTTGCAGGAAAAATCCAAAACCTGTCAGAGGACACTCAACCACCCCACGACCCTCGTTTTTTCAGGCAGTAGAGAAAATCAGAGCAATTCATTTTTAAAACCAAAACCAATGAATGTGAATCATCATTCTTAGTCTAAAAGGAAATTAATTAGACTATCGGCAAAAGTTTTATGGTAACTAAATTAATTAACAGATAAGGACTCTGAAGCAATAGCAGTGAAATTACAAGCATTTCAAATGAAAGAAATATTAATTATTAACTTGTTTATTTGATATTAATCAAATAGAGGAATTAGGTCCAAGCTCTCCTTTCTTCTCCAATCGCTGGATATTGGAGATGCGTTGCAAAATGGATGGCCGATGATGATGCCACATGAGGTAGACATGATCCGTATATGGAAAAACACGATGATCGGCAAAGAGTTTCAACAGGGCTGCTTTCATGGAACCACCAAAACCACGACGCCAAACGTAGGAATCCGCGGAGTACTCGAAATGTCGCAGGAGAAAAAACACAACCCAAATGCAGGCTGTACGAAGGGGAGTCATTAGATACTTGTAAACCAACCAATAGCCCACGACATATGGATAGATATGTGTAAATCCTGCTGCCGTATACATTAACTGCCACCTGTAGCAGGATCCAAAAATCACCAGATAAGTCAGCAATATCAAATGAAACATTATCAAACTTTTGGTCACATGCCACAGTCGCCAATGGGCCAATTGATGGGCCACAAATGCCGCCAGTTGTATATCATTTAGACCAGCACCCACATGTTGAGAGGGTAGATTTTCAGCCTCAATATTCCTATTCAACATCAAGTTGTCATGTATATCCAGGCGAAGGCAACAGCAGCAACCCATCACCCAGGCAGTGGGTCGTCCCAAATAGAAGGTTTGCACCACATAGACTTTACCCGGATACTTGAAGGTTTGCAGAGCCAAACTAAGGTATTTATTCATTTCCAATGAGTCCAAAAGTCGACTCTTGCCCAGGCATGGAACTCCAAAGATTCCAGTGATGAGATGGATAATAAAGGAGATAATCACCACGACCAACCAAATGACCCCTACGAAAAACCAAATTTCCAAATTAGCAAGCGTCATTAAAACTGCAGTCAATGGGATAACGGCAATCTGCAGGGGAAAATCAAGTAATATGTATAGCTTTGATTTTTCCAGAACATTACCTGAATGACAACCACAAAGAAAGCCAGGCCACACATCAGGCCAACCAATGGATATGTTTGCTCTGGATTAACATTATATTTTGGATCCAAAACCATTCTCTCATAGAACATCGAGGGTAGCTTTCTTAAGACCAGATATGTGCTAAACAGCGTCATAAAGACCACATTTAGCCAGGAATTAGGTGCAAAGCGATACCAGTCCACAGTTAACTTCCAAATGCCAGCCAAAGTGCAAAGATATAGATCCAGGCAACTATAAACAGTATCTGCGCATATATTAAAGAACTCCAAGTGCACAGCATGAAACTCCTTCTCCTTGGAGTGCTGTCAGAGTTTACCTTACACATTATTACATTAAAAATAAATATATATTCTTTTCTACCTTAAATTCATCGAGTGACATAACTCCTTCCATTTGAATTGGCGGTGCTTCACTTTTACCAATCAATCTCAACTGACGCATGCAGAGTATGACATGAAAAATACCTTTTAGGACTATCATAAAGCAAAGGAAGTGACGCAGAAACACAGGATCGGAGAAGGACCAGTCTTTTGGCACTATTTGAAAGCCAATACTATAGCCCGTTATCAATAGGGGTTCCCCACGCGCTGGATCTTCATAGAGAGTGGCCATTCTTCAATGTTTATGTGTAGGTGTTGAGTAGTATTGCCTGATTATTTATAGAATATAATGAAAAGTCTCTACCCGGTGACTGGATAATACTTTAATTTAAATAATTTGGTTTATTATTAGTGGTATGTGATACCCAACTTGAATAAATTATTAATATTTATATCCTTTTTAACGAACTTCCACAAAGAGCTTATATTACGTATACGCAATGTTGACTTTTTATGCTTACCCAGCGACTGCTTAATATTACAAATTTTAAATCATTTTGAAAATAATAAGTGATATCTGATATCTTACTTAAGAAAATTTGTAATGTAAATATCGTTTTTAACGCAAGTCCCCTAAAAGCTGATATTACGTATACGCAATATTGAATTATTTATTGCTCCAATATAATTTATATATTAAAAATTTAACTAATTTGGTTTATTATTAGTGATATTTGATACCTAATGTGAGTGAATTATTAAAACATATATCCTTTTTATCTAACTTCCCCTGATAGCTTATATTACGTATACGCAATGTTGGCTTCTTTAATGCCTCAATGTACTTATCCGGCTACTGCATAATATTTAAATTTGATTAATGAAGTACATAATTAGTGATATCTGATACCAAAGTTGATTAAATTGTTAATATATATATCCTTTTTATCGAAATTTCCCTGAGAGCTTATATTACGTATACGCAATGTTGACTTTTTTAAGTGCCAAAAAAGTATGGTTGGAAATGTATCGAAAAATTTAATGATTTTCATGAAAACATACAGAATAATCATAAATCTCATTGATATATCCAGTATTTAAATTTAATAAACTTAATATTTTCTTCTTGAATAAGAGGAAAATTAAATCAGCATTTTCCTTGTATTAAAATTGAATTAAAAATCATCAACTAAATTTTGCTTATAAATTTCCCACCAAAAACGAAAAACCCTGGACCGCCTTTGACAACCAAAAATCAAACTTGTCGCCTTGTCATATCCTTGTAATCCCTAAACCAGAAATAGAAGGACACAGGCAGGATTATGTCCCTGCCAGAAACTGGATTCTTACTGCATGCTAAGGATTATAATGGCGCCAAGGAAATTACATATGTGTGACCGGAAAAATCCAAAGACCTGTATATGTGTTGGTGTACTTGCTGGGTGTAATGGTTCTTTGTAGTTTGTTTCGAGGATTTGAACTTCTTACGCCTGGCATATCAATAATGAGGCAAGGGCTTGGCTTGGGATTCTTGGGGGAATTGTGTTGCCAAGCTGGCTGCTTTGATGGTTTCGGTTCAGCGCCATTACTTAACCCACAGCCACACACTCCCACTCACACCCTCGACCGCACACACGCATCAAATACACACACACACACACACACACACACACACACACACACACACACACACATACACAAATGCGCGAACATTCACTTGGCATCTCTAATTAGTAGAATTTAATCTTCACACTATGGCAACGTCAAACGTCCCGAACTGCGACCTCTCCCTTAGTCTCCTCCCCCAATTCCAAACATATACGTGTATGTTGCCACCCCCTCAGTATCCTTTATTCCGCCCATTGCGCTGCTCATTATGAAAAATTCCAAATTAAAAAGACGAGGGGAGTGGAGCATGCACAGAGAGAAATTATATACAAAATAGTTGGAAATAGTGTGGAATAAATCCTTGAAATTAAACTTTAAACTTGGTTAAGTTCAAGAAACTTGGATTCATCTTTTGAGGGCCATTACAGGGTATTATAATTTCAGTCACAAACTTGTTACGCAGTGCCTTCACTGCGAATTAAAATTAACTCAATTTCGGCCTAATTATAACGTCCAAAAAAACTATGATTTAAAAAGAAAACGTCTGTTTTTATATCTTTTTGAAGAATATAATTTAAGTCAGAAGCTTGAAACGTAATGAAGGAGCCATTAACGACCCTATAAACCATATATATTCTTGATCAGCATGAATCTTGGAGTCGATCTGGCCATGTCCGGTCGAAAAATAAATTTTCGGAATTTTTTCGATATTTCAGACGAACGATAAGGGGTTACATAGTTCATTTGTTCAAAATTGGATTAAAATTTCAATTTTTTTTTAAATTTTAATGCAGATTTTTTAATCTATTTAAAACTGGCATATAACAGTTTTCCGAATTGATTTAATGCGTTTTTGGTTTATTTATGAGTTTTTTAAGTTCTGATATTTTAGTAAAATTATCATTGAAACAAGAAAGGAAGCTAACTTCGGCACGCCGAAGTTTATATACCCTTGCAGATAGAACTTCTATGAATAAAAAACCATACAATATAAATGATATATATTTGTGTTAAAAAACAATGAAGTAATACCTGCTTTCATTGTATTCACCTATACATATTATATTTTCAGTTTTACATTCAAAGATTTGCATTTTTCCTCTACATCAAACGATCGTTTGTATGGCACCTATATGATATAGTCGTCCGATTTTCATGAAATTTGACACAAAATTTAAGACTAATATAAAATGCCTATACATAAAATTTGATGAAAATCAGTTGAAAACTGAAAAGGTTATAAATTTAATTGTATTAATTTCTCGATCGTTCCTATGGGAGCTATATGATATAGTAGTCCGATTTTCATAAAATTTTATGCAAAATTGTAGAGTATAGTAAAATGGTTATATCTCAAATTTGATCCAATTCTATTGAAAACTGAAAAAGTTAAAAATTTTTTTGTAAAAATTTTCCGATCATTCTTATGGCAGCTATATGATATAGTCGTCCGATCCGGCCCGTTCCGACATATATACGAGTGAGAGTATATAGAAGGCTAACTACAAAGTTTCATTCAGATAGCTTCAAAACTGAGAGACTAGTTTGCGTAGAAACGGACAGACGGACAGACGGACAGACGGACATGGCTAGATCGACTCGGCTGTTGATCCTGATCAAGAATATATATACTTTATATAGTCGGAGGTGCCTCCTTCACTGCGTTGCAAACTTCTGACTGAAATTATAATACCCTGCAAGGGTATAAAAATAGGAATATGTATATAAACACAAAAGGTTAAAATCTATATTTCTTCTCTGAGGGAAAAAATATATATGAAATACAAAACAAAACCTTATTTATTTATTAATAAAATCTCAGCTAGTTTACAGTGACTATTATATAATATACAGTCATAGAAGTTTAAATTTCCCAAGAATGTTTAACATTCATAAACATAAAAATTGATCATTCGACAAGAATTATTCAGGACTGAATAACCTTTATATCCTTCCAGAGCTTTGTGCCTAAATTAATTAATTATTTATGAAATATTTGTGAAATTCAAATGGTGGAAAATGCCTCAGATTCTGGATTTCCTTCTTTCTCTCTGTGCTTCACAAAGTAAAAAGTTTCTCTCAAGAAGTAACGGCAGGATTTGCATAAATACCAGGACATGTGGGTGGGTGCTTCTGTTCCGTGTGTGTGTGTGTGTGTGTGTGTTAGTCTCACACATCATGATTACATAATTTAGCTATTAAAACAGCGCCAAGTGGCTGGCTGAGGGCGGGAAGGCGGGAAAAGAGGGGAAAACTGAGAGGGAAGGCGGCTTATTTATGCCTCGACACGCCGTTCAGCGGCGCAGCTTCAAAGGATCCGAAACATGGGCGGCGGTTGGGGAAGGGGTTTCGGGACTAGTGCCTGGGTATTCCAGTTCAACGGCACACACATGTGCACTTGATTTACTCATTAGCGTTACTTTTCTGTTCATAATAGGGCGCTTACCAAGCCGGAAACCGCAGCCGCCGCTGCCCCCCGCCGCCCCCTTTCTGGCCATCGTCCTTCTGGTACCGTCCTGGCCACATTTGGTTTCATTTCGAACCGCTCTGGATGCGTTGGCATAAGCCGCTTACGCGTATCCTTTGTGCATGTGTAATTGTGCTGGCTCTCACACGCTACCCCATCCCCCCGCCTTGCCATCTTACCCTTACACACACACACACACACACCAATAACACCCACACCCTTACGCACACCCACGGACTAAGCCCTAATAATCCTCACTATTTGGCCCAAAGGAAGGGGCGAAAAAAAAGGTAAAACACTGAGAGAAGTCTTGGGTTATTTAGGGGAAATTGAATTTTCTTAAAGGGAAATTATTAAACTTATTTTTGGTTAAATAATAATACGAACTTTTCTTTTGGGAAAGTTATTGAATATCTTTTGGATTGAATAAAATAAATAAAATACTTGTATAGAGCTAAAGATTTAAGACTGGTCTAAAGGTTTTAAGATCTTAAAACCTAAAGATTTAAGATTGATCTTAAGGCCTTAAAAACTCTTTAAAAGCATTTAAATTTTTCTTAAAAATAGTTTATTTGAAATGAAGTAAGAATACTCAGGAATTCTTTAATTAAATTAAGGTATTTCTTATTAAAAGACGTCTGTTTTAAGTGTTAATAGATGTTCTTATTGGTTATCAACTATAAAGTTACATATATGGTATGATATTTAGCATTTAAGATTTGATAAGATATATAATAATTTAAGATTTACAAATTCATTAATTTTGTTTAGCTAAGAAATCAATAAATATGAAACAAGGTTTGCTATGATATTACTTCCGAATATCCTTATTTTAAATAAGCTTTCATTAAGTTTTAAATTGATTGAATTATTTATTACCATTTATTTATTTTTTTATAAATTTATTTATTTTCCAGTGCAATGCGTAACTGGGTAGCAAAACCCAAATCGCTGTCCCCATTTTTGCACGATTCTCCTTCTTTCTTGGGCAAATTCAAAAATTGAACATTTCACATTTGCCGAAGGCTCAAAACACATTATTTTCCCTTTCCTTGGCTACCAAAAGATGCACTCTACAGATATACCTTATAAAGAGATATATGTACATATGTATAAAGGAAAAGGTTTACTTCTGGCTGGCAATCAAGATGCTGCGAGAGGGGAATTTCATCTCACCAAGGGGTATATAAATAAAGATTTGCGTTGAATGGAGTTAAACCTTAACGAATGGCACTATTCCAAAAGAGTTTATCTTAACAAAAAGTCTTACCCATATCAAATGGGAATAGTT